ATTGCATAAAGCTTTCCTTGGCTCTGTAAAAATTTCAGTCAATGTTGAGGAGCAGATGTTCTGTAAAATTTATGAATGTGGCATACACAGAGCCCAAATCTTGATTCTCTAGCAAACAATGAAACCTTTCAAACACCCTCTTCTCTTCCTTTCTGCACAATACATTTGCTCGAATTGGTTCCTCTTCCCCTGATAGACTGGTGAAGTCATGAGGAACTCTGATGTTACTGGAGGGGACCTCAGTACTCAATGGCAGCAAGATGGCCGCCAAACCATATAACTTGAATAATGGGAGAAAAATAGGTCAGTTTACCTACTCACAGGAACACTGATGACCCTGAGTGAACAGGATCTGCTACGCTTTATAGAGATAATAGATAAGGCATAGTAAAACCAGAAATTTATATGAGAGTGAAAGTGCCTCTCCAAAAAGTATCAGAGGGGTAGCCGTCTTAGTCTGAATCTGCAAAAGCATCTGACGAAGTGGGTCTTTGACTACAAACGCTTATGCTCCAATAAATCTGTTAAGTCTATAAGGTGCCACAGGACTCCTCATTGCTTCTCCAGAAAGTATCCTTCCCAGTGAATCATGCCTCTCCATTATGTGGATGTCACTCTGTGAACTGTGGGTAGAGCTGAGTCCAAGAACTGGTGCAATACAAGAGATGGTGCTATCACTGGACACATGCACTAGTGAGAATTCTGTGTCCACCACATCTACTATTTGAGTAGATCTTGTCCAAAGATTTTGGCAAAACACTCTTTGGTTTGGAAAAGCTTTTTTCTGCAAAACTGATTTTTTTTTTTGCCAAAATATTTTGCCATCCTATTCTGACATTTTCAGAATGAACACTTTCATTTTTTTTATTTCAAAATGTCTTTTTGTTTAGAAATGTATTTTATTTTGCATAAAAAGAAATAGAATAGAAATAAAAAAGAAATATTTTGATTGATTTGAATTTTGAAATTTTGTCTTTTCATCCATTGGGTGTTTTTTCCCCAAATCTCTGATTTTTTTCATTGAGACAGAAAATCCATTTTCTGACAGGCTTTAATAAAATTCACTGGGGGGACCCAGCTAGTGTCCATACAATTCCTATTGACACTATGCTGTCACTGGGGAGAAGATGGCTCCTGGCTCTACACAGAGTTGGGTAGGTGACTTCCCCATGAATTCCTGAGGCTGCAATCTCTCAATTCCTCCCACCAGTAAGGACATGCAAAGAGCACTCTACAAAATGAGCACTCTTCCTTCTCCCCTCTTCTCACTGTTTTCTCTAGTCAGGGGTGATTACTGCTGGACTGTGAAGAAACAGTTTTTAGCCTTCATAAATCACACTTTGAGTTCCTCAGAGACAAACTTGACAGTGAGGATATACTCGTCCCTTTTGATTAGCTAGATGCTATCTGGATTAATGCATCCAAAACTAAAAATAAGATTGCCCTTAGCAAAGTGAGTTTCTGATAAATAACTCAATTGGGTAGCCAAGAGCCATGTCTTCTGTAGATACATAAAATGCCTTGAGCCACACATCTTTCTTGGTATTGTAGGGTTTTAAGTAGCATAGCCCGATAGCAAATACTAACATTTTACATATTTAAATCCATCATTTGGAAATGGAAACTGCAAGTTATTTTGTGAAGCAAGGCCAAGACAAATCTGATTATTTAAAACCATTTTTTGTAGGTGTTGACTAATACAATAAAATTTCACACAGAAAAGCAAAGAGGGACATTTTCACATTTCAGTTCCAATAGTTATAAAAGAAAGATTTTCATGGTTAAAATTCAAAGGCAGCATGTAAAGTAATTTCACTGTTTCAGAAACCTGAATTACCTGCAATAGCCTTAGGGCATTATTCACTCACAAAAGAAAAAAATGTAGTTAAATATTGCTGTGATTTTCCTAAGTAATTTTTCTGAAGGAGACAAGTTGATTGGAATCATCCATTTCAAGATTAAAGTGGTGACATTTTGTGACTGCAGCCACACAGGTAATTGAGGTTTGAGTGGGCTTAGGAATGTGTCCAAAAATTAAATATGGGAGAGGGGAGCATTGCTGACAGAGGGACCAGCATTGCATTTTCACTGTTCAAATCTGTGTAACTGATGCTTGGCACGGGTATGAAATCCATACTAAGTATTTACATTAAAAATGTTTTAAAGGCTTAATTAAAGACCTCCAATAGAATGCTTAGACCACTGCACTAGTCTATTGGACAGTCTATCATTCATGTTATCTCTATATAAATATCTCTATATCTCTATATAAAAGATTACTAAAATAAGAATATTTATAACCCATTGATTTTTAATGGCTCCATTTTCTAATAGTTTCAAGTAACCAAACTACCTGAGAGACCATCTTCTACCTGATCACTTGCTTTGCCCCTCAGGATTGGAAGCTGGAACCAAAAGTATAATCTCATAAAGATGAGTGACAAAATCTGGGTCCCACTGAAGTCTACTGGGAGTTTTGCCATTGACTTAATCAGGCTATGGTTTCACACTCAGGCAGGATTTCAAATTACTTTCCCCTCAAATGATGGCATTCTTCCAAGTGAGGTACAAGATGTGCTTCTTTTTAACCAATGGGGCTAAGGAAATTGTTGCTTTCATGTATTTGGATTCCTCCTGCAGGTCTGAGTATTGTATTGGATAACTGTGGTCTAATTGCTCTTTTGGTACTTAATTGCTCTTTTTGTACTTAGTTATTTTAGTACAACAGCCAGAAACTTCAGGCTAGAGAAGTTTTATAGATGCTCTACTCACACATTTGCCCAGGGTGATAACTTTTCTTAGTGGTTGAGCAGAATATAATTATTTTTTAAATTTTGCTTGCAGTGTTGTTGTAGCCCTGTTGGTCCCAGAATATTAGGGTATGTCTACACTAACACCCTAGTTCGAACTAGGGTGGCTAATGTAGGCAACCGAAGTTGCAAATGAAGCCCAGGATTTGAATTTCCCGGGCTTCATTTGCATCTTGCTGGGCGCCGCCATTTTTAAATCCCCACTAGTTCGGACTACATGCCCGCGGCTACACACAGCACGGAGTAGGTAGTTCCGTTACTCCTCCGCGGGCACGGAGTCCGAACTAGCGGGGATTTAAAAATGGTGGTGCCCGGCAAGATGCAAATGATGCCCGGGAAATTCAAATCCTGGGCTTCATTTGCAACTTCGGTTGCCTACATTAGCCACCCTAGTTCGAACTAGGATGGTAGTGTAGACATACCGTTAGAGAGGTAAGATGGGTGAGGTAATATCTTTTAGGGAACCAACTTCTGTTGGTGAAAGAACCAACTTCTGTTGAGTTTACACAGTGCTCTGCATCAGGTATTGAAAAAGGTACTCACACCAGGTCTACAGCAGACATGGGAAGTTAGGTTAAGGTACGCAACTCTGGCTATGTAAAATATGTAGCTTGAGTTGGCTTACTTTAAGCCAAGGTTGGTGCCATCTTCACAAAAGGAAGGTGACAGGAGCAAATATTTCCATTGGCTTCCCTTACTCTTCATGAGTGCCAGAAGAACCAATGCTGGCCTGAACTGCCTTCAGCATTCGACTTAGGGGTCTTAATTAGACTCACTAAATCGAATGCCAGAAGAGCGATCTCCAGCAGGTCAAGTGAAGATGTGGCCTAGAGTGTCACAGCTAAATACAATGTGAAACAGACTGTTAATTCCATATGCTTAACACATGTTTTAAGAGACCATTCAAAGTGAAGGGGGCAGTTAACACCTCTCCCATCATAGGAAAAAAGAAGGTTAGAGGATTACAGATTGGTATAATAAACCATAAATCTGTCTTTACTGAGGGCTTGTCTATACCACACTTTAGTGTGCTGTAACTTTCTTGTTCGAGGGCGTAAAAAAACAAGACTCACCTTCCTCTGAGCTACATCAGTATAAGTAAGTTATAGCAGTGTAAAGTGCCTGTGTAAACAGACTTCCAGGGCTGTCAGTTACTCCCGGCACAGAGGTGGTTTCCCTACTGGGCTGGGAGAGCTCTCTCCCAGCACTGGTGCCATCACCACACTGCCGCAGCAACACTTTAAACTTAGCAGTGTAGACAAAGTCTGACTCCATGATTTTTAGTGTTTGAAGAGTTACAAATGTAAGTATCCAGACTCATCTTTTGAAGGTGTTGTGGAGATTTCCTATATCGATGAGGACTCAGAGGTCAAAGATAGAGTGATCACTTTGTAAAAAGCATTTGGCCATGGGTGAATTGGTGGTTTGGGCTTTTATCATTGTTCTGTGTGAATTCATTCAAGAAACATAGTGATTGTCTCATTTCACCCACATACTTGGGCATTTGATGTATTGAATGGGGTACACCATACATTGTGACAGGCCTGTGTATGACCCATGAATCCTGGAATGTATGCTTTAGGTGGTGTCAACTGTAGCAGTTGAGCTGTCTGCATGTTTTGTATTATTAGTCATTACAGAAAGCAACTGCATCTGGAATGATCTATTTTCTTGATAATGTTGGAGGGTTTTTAAATATTGTTAGTTACCAAGTTTGGGCCATTTCCATTCCAGATTCAATAATAAAAATACTGCTGTGGCTGATCCGATCCTACCAAGGCAACTATTTGTCTGGACAGCAAGTCCTCTTTCATTCAGTGTTAGTATATCCAATCCCCAGGTTCCCAGCACTGTCAGCTATTCTCCTCATGGAAATGGCGAGTGTATTAATTATCTATGATAATGATGTTGAGGGATTTTTAAACGTAAGGTCCAGGGAACTTGACTGGGAGTTTTGATTAACTGGCACGTGAGTAGTGAAGATTCAGATGTGAATTTGTGCTGATGCACTGGACCCCAAATAATCTTTTATGTCTTGTTCCTCAAGCCAGAGGATGCTGAAAACATCACAAACAATCACAGCTACTCTGATTAACGGAACAACAGATTAGCAAGAGCAATGAGAGAGGCCAATTATTTAGCATCCTCTTCTCCATACATTGGCTGTACCCAAATGTGGAGCATTTGGAGTAAATTAATGCAATTTTAATAGAGGAAATCCAAATGAAACAACCGTCCTTGAGATGAAGTCATTTGCTTCCATCTTTATCAGTCTCAAGGAGCAGAGCTCTGTAATACTAAAACAACTCGTTGATGACTGGAGTCCTAAAAATACAAAATGGAAAAATCAACTAGTGCATCTATATCACTAAGCAAATCTATCACTCATCCTCAAATTTAGCACACTTATCACAGAAAACCAAATTGCTTTGACAGAGCACAAGCCAATGTTCACTGAAATCAATGAAAAGACCCCATTGACTTTGCAGATATGGGTGTGGATATAAATTTTGTATCTAGAACCCTGAAAATTTGCGTATATCCATGGATATACACAAATTTTCAGGGTTCTAGATACAAAATTTATATCCACACCCATATCTGCAAAAATGAGCTGCGGATATCCACGTCCACACACGCAGATATAAAGCTATATCTGTGGATTTGAAGTCTGTCCACACCCGCAGATATAAAGCTATATCTGTGGATTTGAAGTCTCTACCTATAGAGAATCTAATTATGATAAGGTGTTAGAAGAGCAGATAAAGGCAAAACATATTGTGGTGTCAGATGAAAAATTTTAAAAATGCAAGTTTCAAAGTACAGCATTTGTCTAAAAGCATTGCTTCCTGAAACACGTCTTCCATGAAAATTATTTCAATATGCTTACTTTCCGTTGTTTGTTTTTCTGCTGAATTTTCACTTGCCTGAATAAAGATTTTTTTTCCACTGTTGTTTTTTCTTCTGCTACTGGAATGCAGCCCTGATGATTCTATCACTAAGTGGCTGAGTTGGTCTAAAGTTATCTCCTAATATTCCATCACAGCCTTCAAAAAGTTCTGCACCTTTTACGTGTGTCCTCAGTCTTCGAAACTCTTCTATCTGAAAAGGCAAAGAAATGACACACAATATTTTAGATTGTTCACTGTGGGGCCCATGATCAGAAGCAGCCTGAGCTCTAGTTGAATGTTTGGTTTTCAGTGTCTAAACATATAAGTTCTCATCATCAAGTAACTGTGTGTAAATTAATGTGTACACAAACTGCATTTGCACAGGCAAAATTAGTAATACAGTAAACTTCTGATAATCCAGCACTTTTAGGACCCTGGGGGTGCCGGTATACCAGACCCATCATAGCCCCCCCTTCCAATAGTCCGGCTCTGCCCCAGGTGTCCCCGAGTCAGCTGCTGCTGGTCAGTTTCAGCAGCGGCTGAATCAGGGACGCCTGCGGCAGAGCATCTGGGGTGCTGCTGGGTTGGTCCTGCGGCCCCGAGGGGCAGCACTACGGGACGAACCCAGCAGTACCCCAGCTGCTCTGTCCCCAGCTTCCCCGATTCAGCTGCTGGTCAGTTTCAGCCGCGGCTGAATCGGGGACAGCTGGGGTGCTGCCGGGTTGGTCCCGCAGCCCCGAGGAGCAGCGCTACAGGACCTACCCGGCAGCACTCCAGCTGCTCTGCCCCCGGCTTTCCCGATTCAGCCACTGGTCAGCTTTAGCAGCGGCTGAATCTGGGGAATAGATGACAACCCATCTGCTTGTGTGCATAATACCCCAAAGAGTTTTAGCTCAACCTACAACTTGCTCGTAGAAAAGCACTTGCCAAATATTTGAATACTCATATCTCCCCATGCAATTGTAGAGACTTCTTTTGAAAAAGTAAGTCAATAGAACTGAACGTAACTGGCTGGGAGGAATGCAGATTAGTCAATTTCTGTATTTTTAAATTGCTGCGTAACAAAAACATGGTATTTTGAACCAATAAAATAAGTGTCTACATTGTAACTGCAAAAGATAATTGCACATGCAGAATATGTAGCAGTGTGTGAATATGGTTCTGAAAGATACACTCTGCATATTTTATCACCACTTCTTCTGGAGTATGGATTCAGGGCCAGTCTTAGGGGGTATGTCTACACTACCACCCTAGTTCGAACTAGGGTGGTAATGTAGGCAACTGGAGTTGCAAATGAAGCCCGGGATTTGAATTTCCCGGGCTTCATTTGCATAAAGCCGGGCACCGCCATTTTTAAATGTATACCAGACCCATCATAGCCCCCCCTTCCAATAGCCCGGCATATCTGATAATCCGGCACCCCTGGATCCTAAAGGTGCCGGATTATCGGAAGTTTACTGTATTTCGTAAATACTAACATACAGCAGCAACCAGTCCCACTAACTTAAATGTGCCCATTTGTGTGTAAATATCTGCAGTATCAGAGCCTAACTTATTAAAATGTATACCGTAAAAAGAGAATGCTTATATAAAAAGTTTAAACCTGTAAAATTATAGTGAACCTTTAGTACAATACAATTAGTGTATGTAGAAAAAGCAACACATCCGGGTTCCCGATGGTGCCAGACCATCTACATTACCACCCTAGTTCGAACTAGGGTGGTAGTGTAGACATACCCAGGGATTGGGAATTGGGGCAACTGCCAACATTCAGGGGTACCAAATGCCTGGTGTGTTAATTTTTGAAGTTTTTGTGCATTTTGGATTCATGAGGGGGCACAGAAAATGTTTTCTGCCAATGGTGACAAATCACCTAATGCCTGCCCTGCAGATATTTCCCTATCTTGCATTTCATTCTAGATCACCCCCTATGTATGCAATAATACTACAGACAGGGGGCTTCATTCTGGTCTCACTTAGATGAGGGTAAACCAGGAATAACTCCTTTGATAGCAGCATAAGGACTCTGTGAGATTAGGAACAGTGCCAGAGTGTGAGTTCATAATAACATATCTTTATTTGGTAGCCATGAGACAAAAGGTAAGCAGCATCAGCATTGCTGAAATCTGTGCCCCTTGCTTCAATAGCACACTCTTTTTGACAGCTTGTTTTTAAAATAGGATTTTAAGAGAATGAAAATCACATGTATTCTAAATAGAAAAGAACATAATAGTAGAAGGAAAGCAACATCAAAGAGTTATCTGTTATATAATTAAACGTTGTAGAAGAACTATAAAGTGTGGGGTGTATGGGCATATATGGGGTTGCATGGTAGTACTTCAAATGGGGTAGTACCTCTAAAGAAGTGGCCCATCCTCTATTGATCTTTACCAGCACCCAACTCTCACCTGTGGCTCCAAGTAGTTGCTTTGCATGCGGCAACGGCCACACCCCGGGCAACAGCTTTGACAGGCCAGCTAAACCAGGTGAGGGTAGCCGATGGGTCTGAAACCCTCGGTGAGTTAGGGACTTGCTCATCCTAGCATGCGAAGACTGCTTTGATGGATCAGGCAGAGGAAATCTTTATGATTCTGTACTATGGAGTGCGTGGGGTATGTCAGAGCATTTAAGGTGATATGGCCATCCAATACAGCTGAGGTAGTCTCCAGAAGTAACGATTTTTCATGCCACTGGATTCCAACTTCTGAGGCCGAGAGAATGGGATCATCTCTGTGCAAAGGTTTTCCCACTAAAATATTCTTCACGCACAGGTTATGTTGTGCAAAAAAAAAAGAAGTTGGTAATGGGAGCATGGAACATCCATACGCTCATGGACAGTGAGGACACAATAAGACCACTTTGGAGAACAGCCTTAGTCACTAAAGAGCTTTCACACTATGGTATTGATATCTCTGCCTTGAGTGAAACCAGGCTTGCTGAAGGAGGATTTCTCACTGAACTAGCTAGTGGTTATACCTTCTTCTGGAAATGGAAAGCGCAGAATGAGGATAGGTCCATGGAGTCAGCCTGGCTGTCAAGACATAGGATCCACAGCATCGGCCTGGCCGTCAAGACTAGTCTGATGAAACAACTTTTGGACCTGCCTGTCAGTATTAACGAGAGGCTCATGAAGCTACACCTACCCCTCAGTTACAAGCGGTATGCAATAGTCATCAGTGCATACGCTCCCACCATGAACAGCACAGAGGAGACAATTGAGCAGTTCTACATCGACCTCAGTTCCGTTCTGTACTCAGTGCTGGTCAACGACAAGTTGATCTTGTTGGGAGACTTCAATGCCTGAGTTGGCTGCGACCACAGTTGATGGGAGGGAGTGTTAGGAAAACATGGCATTGGCAAGATGAACAGTAACAACCTATTGCTTCTGAGCAAATGTGCAGAACATGACCTCCTCATCACGAACACTGTGTTCGGAATGGCAAACAAATACAAGACTACCTGGATGCACCCTAGATCGAAACAATGGCACATGATAGATTATGTCATTGTTCGTCAACGTGATATTCGTGATGTCCTTATCACCAGAGCCATGCGAGAAGCAGAGTGCTGGACTGACCATAGGCTTGTCTGCACCATTTTCAAAATACACATCGCTCAGCATCACCCAAAGCTCCCAAAGCTCATCCGTACAGCCTTTAACATTACCAGACTCCAGCAGCCTTCTCATCTGCGCAAGTTCCAGTCAAGCCTTGATGAAAAGCTGACAGCCAATGGACCATTGATTGGAGGTCCAACTCAGAAGTGGAGCCAGTTTAGAGAAATAGTGATGGAGACAGCGAAGTCAGTGCTTGGTCCCAAGAAACGCAATCATCAAGACTGGTTTGATGAGAACAACAGTGCTATTGAGGACCTGCTTGCCAAGAAGAACAAGGCATTTATGGAGTAGCAGAATGACCCAGGCTCTATCTCTAAGAAAGACCAGTTTAAGTTCCTCCAGGCCCTGGCTCAGCGAGAAATCCGCAAAATGCATAACCAGTGGTGGGAGAAGAAAGATTAAACAATCCAAGGGAGTTTTTCAGCTCCATCAAGTCAGTCTTTGGTCCTTCTAAGTCTGGCTCTGTCCCCTTGCTGTCTGCAGATGGAACCACATTGATCAGGGATAAGGCTGGCATCAATAACTAATGGAAAGAGTATTTCAGTCAGCTCCTGAATTGTCCAACATCAGTCAGCACTGGAACAAATCCTTCAGAAGCCAACCCTTGAAGACCTGGGAGATCCTCTATTTATTGACGAAGTTAGAAAGGCCATCAGGCAGATGAGTTGTGGCAAGGCATCCGGCAAGGATGGAATTCCCGCAAAATTGTACAAAGCATTTAATGAGGAGTCACTTCAGGTTTTAATAATGTCTTGACCAGTATTTGGGAAGAGGAAGAAATGCCATCTGACCTCCTGATGCCATGATAGTTGCTCTGTATGGGTATGTCTACACAGCAAAGTTATTTCGAAGTAACAGCCCTTATTCTGAAATAACTTTCATAGGCTGTGTCTACATTGGCATCCCTTTCCGGAAAAGGGATTCTAATGAGACACTTCGGAATTGCAAATCCGCGGGGGATTTAAATATCCCGCACGGCATTTGCATTTACATGGCTGCCGCTTTTTTCCGGCTCGGGATTTTTGCCGGAGAAAAGCGCCAGCATAAAGAAGCGAAAATAAGCCCTTATGCAAGTAGGAATAAGGGATCTCCCGGAAAAGGGCTTATTTTCCGGAAAATCGCATCTACACTGGCGCTTTTCTCCGGCAAAAACCCCGAGCCGGAAAAA